AACCAATAGAATTTTTACTATATCACGGGTTGATCTACAAAAATTGGCCAATCAAAATAAAAGCCCGCTATGTTGATCCAGGTGGCATTTTTTTTGACGGGTCCAATCACTAGCAGATCTTATCCAATTTTGAAAATTCCGGTGATTTTTGGTAGAGGAATGATGCATACACGAGTGCGTATGGTTATCTGAGTGAAATGAAGTGAACAAATACGGTTCTTTGATTGGTTATATTTCCTGTCATTGTGGAATGATTTGCATTTTATATTAAACCAGTTTGATATAGCTTTACGTCTATAAATACGGAGATTATCTCAAATTTTTTAATTTTAATTCATTACAATATCATGCCTCCAAAAGCAGAAGAAGAGATGTTGATAAATGAGAATTTTAAAATGAAGGAACAATATCTGACTTTTAAGCTGGTAGAAGTTCCTCTACCTTACTGTGTTGATCATGAAAAGATGATTCTCAAACCAGCAACAAATCCATTATAGAATTTTACCAGTTGGTGTACTATTACTTCTACTGTTTTGATGTGTAAATTTTTTTAAAATTTTGCACCAGCTCATATACTGTATATAATCAAGAGCCTTTTATAAAAACTTTGATGGATCCAAATAGAACAAGACCGATTTTGACAGGTAATGAATTTTAATTTTTTTTTCTTTAATTTAATGAATTAATATGGTTAATTATGTTTAATTCCTTATAGTTGCAAATTATTTATCAACGTAAGTTGTAACGAATATTTTATTCTTAACCAAATACTTTTAGACTTGATGATCCGCTACTCTGGGGAAGTATTCCCTTTAAGAATTTTCTTAGTCTTCATAGGGCCCGCTGGACGCTTGGTGCTCAAGAAATATGTTTTACTACACCGTAAATACAGTTAACTAAGTGTATTTTATATTTATTTGCATTGTACGGACATTATCTTTTATTTTATTTTTTATTGATAGTATACTTTCAAGATTCTTTGCTCTCGGTCAAGTTATACCAACTGTTCGTTGTGCCTGAATTTACCAACCTGCTATGAATTTTGCTCTAGATAGGTTATATTAAGGAAAGTGGGTATGTATTTTAAATGCTTTCTTTATATATGTAGCATCTTTTAACGAGATTAATATTATTCAGGTTCACATCTTTCCTGAGGCAAAGATCAATCGGACGGCAGACTTAATTCGCTTTAAATGGGGCATTGGACGATTAATAATGGAATCAATAAATCCTCCAATCGTTATACCAATATGGCACAAAGGTTTGTATTTTTTCATTTATACATTCATTTTAATTTTTATAAACACTAATCCATTTAATATTGTTCAATGCAGGGCTTGAAAAAGTAATGCCTAAAGAGAGAGATCATACATGGATTCCATTATTTGGTGAAAATGTTGTCATTGTATATGGTGATCCAATTGATTTTAAAGATATTCTCGCCAATTATCATACTGGAAAGACTGATGAAGTTACAACGCGAATCATTATTACTAATGTGATATTTCGTACAATGGCTGAATTAAAAAAAAAGTCAGAGTTATTAGAGGCCAAAAAGTTTAAAGAAAGTTATTCATGACAAGGATTATCAGCTATTCTTAGTGAATTCGGTTTATTGTTTTCATTATATTTACGGTTTTCTCGTATACAATATACTGAGATCTCAAGTGTGGTATTTAATATGTGTTATACTTTTTTAAGCCCGAATAATGAAGCAAAATAGACTCCAGCAGGTTAACTTATTTCATATTCATCAATTGAACATAATCTAGATACAATCCAATAAAGATTATGTACTCATGCTATATTTATAACTAGAAGTGCGAGGCGATGACATTATCTTTACATCTATTTCGCAAATAAATTTCGAGTAGCAATAGTTTGTGAATTTATTCCAAATCATTTCACGTATGCTGCACGATGATTATATATTCTATTTCTCGTGTGAAGCACATCCCTATATATGGACTAGGTGCTGCAGAAAGGGGGAAATCAAAAGATCTTCGGAAGATTAATTTTTATGTTATAAGAAACCACAAACTTTAAAGAACTATACTAAATTTTATTAATATCTTTTTTGCACAAATCAATTTAAAATAAGATCAGGATCATTTTCACTTAAAGACAAAATCAATTGTAATTTTTGAAAATCCTCCTTTTTTTTGCAGCACTCAGCCCGTAATCTAGCAACTTTGCATTTTTAGAGGAATCTTTGTAAGTATATAATTTTTGATGCTTATTACGTATGAGTCAGTCCATTGACCCTATTAACTGTTAATCGGTATAGCATCGTAGCGGTAGCAATACGAGAATCTGAGCGTTCACAGAATTGGTTCAGAGCATTTGTAAATCTTGGCCTGGATTTAGGATCTAAAGTCATCATAGTACTGGCTAACATTATGCGGATTAAGATGCTGGCCGACTTTACGTAATCCTGACCAATTATAGGTTCCCCTCACTAATTTTTTCGGCAGTGGCAAATATTGCCGCATAACAAATAGAACCCGAATTGTAATCATTCAGGCCCAATTTGTTATGTGGCAATATTTGCCACTCGGAAAAATTAATGAGGGAAACCTATACTATATTTAATACATAAATTTAAAACATTACATCTATAAAAAAAAAATATATATCGATCTATCAGGGTGGTAAAATTAGAATGGAAAAAAGATGAAAATTAACAAATAACAAAAACATGTCTATGATGAATCAATTGTTTTCACACAAAAATAATTTGCAAATTTAAGATACTTCTCACTGCTCCGTTCTGCACAACAATAGAACAGTAAGAGCAAATATTGATTATACACAATTTTGCAATATAGTAAATCATTTGAGCAGTAAGTACATACAAATTTAATAAACTGAGCTTTACGAACTTGTTAGTATATCTTCTAAATTTACTGTTACTTAAACATAACAATTTCTATTTTAACAATATAAATTAGTTCAACAATAAAATATTAACTACGTAATAAAAGTAATACTCATAAAACAATGCATTAGAATTTATTACTTTATACAATATATTTGACAATTAGAGTGATAAATTCGAAACTCGTTTATTATTTTTACCTTATTGACAGTTCCGAGATTTTTACATATTTTTTACTAAAGTTCTTGCACGTGTATTTTGTGCATACCGTATTTGCGCGTAATAACGCACATGGGCGTTATTTCGAAACTCTCATTTTTTAAAAATTTGGTTTTTTAACTCAAAATCCATGCGCGTCCCAATATATCTTTGTGTAGCTTTTTTAAAAAAAATTTATTTTACAAAAATTATTGTACGTATACCAATTTTAAACACTGCTCGCACACGTACGCACGTACGTTCTGCAAATTCAATCGGCATTATCCATAATAAAGCTGTATCACTCGATAGTGATTCAAAACAGTAGCACACTTTGCTTTAATTAAACT